TGGGCGGGGCCCGGGGGCAGCCTGAGCCGGAGAGGAAGTGGGCGCTGGCCCACCTGTCCACGACGCAGCCCTGGGACTGTGACCTCGCACTGAGCGGATTTGAAATGGCAGCCCCGGGTCCCACAGCTCCGCCGACACTGCCCGCGCCACCTCCGAGCCAGGTGCTATGAAACCACCTTCCACCTGTGCATCTAACCTTGGGCAGGGCCTTCAGCCAGGTGCAGCCCAGGAGATTGGCTAGGGGGGCGGGGAGGGAGGCGTGGGGGGGCGGGGCAAGGGGGCAGGAGCAGGCCTCGGATTTTCCCCTAAGCCACGTGGTAGAGGCCCCTCCCTGGTGTTGGGCTGGGGCGTGATGCCTTCCTCTCTCCTCACCTTCACCATGAAACCGTTAACATGTGCAGCAGTGCAGGGCATCGCGACGATGCCCAGGCGCCCTGTCGCGAGCACAGTGTCCACCAGATAATCCAAGCCTTCTCCCTCCCCGCCTGGAGTGACGCTGGGGTCACGGGAGTAGTGGGGGCTGGTGGGTGGAGCCACGCCGGTGGAATGAAGTTCCAACCTGGCCCAGCCCAGCACCCTGCTGGGCTGTAAGGGATGTTGATTTCTTTCCGTTTGGGAGCTCCATGTCTTAAAGAAATACAGCGGCACAGAGTGTGACCAGGCCCAACTCCTTCCCACCTCCCTCCTCCCTCCTCCCACCCCCACCCCTGCACCCGCCGGTGCCGGCCCAGAGGCACCCTGCCCTGAGGTTGGTGCAGGTCATTCCCAAGTGTGCTTATGTGTTAATACACGTGTGTGTCTGTCCGCAGGCAGTATGTTCTGCTGTTTAGTGTGTTTGAAAACGGACACAAATGGCGTCATGCTGCCTTTCGAAGCAGATTTCTCCTCCCATCGTGTCTGCGGTGACTCCTGTGTGAGGCGCGTCTGCTGGCCGAGCCAGGCCTCCTCCGCGGTGGGCGCCTGCGGTCCTCCTTCCGGCTCTGCTCTTCCATCGGGGCTCGGGGGTGTCCAGCACGTGTCCCCAGCTTCCCTTTCTCTCCGGCCACCGTTCTGTCTGCGGCGAGTCCTGCTCCAGGTCTCGGATCGCCAGGCTGAAATGTCTGCACCTACGTGGGTGAGAGTGTAGATCAATGCTATTTCATTTTTAAAATAATACATTTTTATTGATTTCAGAGAGGAAGGGAGAGAGAGAGAGAGAAATATCAATGATGAGAGAGAATCATGGATCGGCTGCTCTCGAGCCCTGACCGGGAATCCAACCGTGACCTCCTGGTTCACAGGTCCACGCTCCACCCCTAAGCCACGCCGGCCGGGCCCTCTCTCCTGCTTAACACGTGGAACTTCCGTGGCCGGTGTTATGAGTGTGGAGCCTACGGAGCTTGAGCAGTAAAACCACAGCCACGCAGGGACCCACTGACGCTCACTCATGTAAGGGAGCATCGGGGCTCCTCTGTGGCGGTGATGACGGCCGGTGTCCCCGCAGCTCCCAGGTCCTCGCTGTGCGTGGAGGGAGCTTTTACCCGCGCGTGTGCTGCGGTCAAGGGGCAGCTGTGTGGGCAATGCCAGGTGCTCTCAGCCGCGGCTCCGGGTGGACATGAGGTGTTCCCTGCCCTTCGCTCGCGCTGGCCCAGGAAGAGGGGCCGTTAGAGTCTCAGGCCGCAGTGGACGGCGCCCCCGCCCGCGCAGCTCTGACTCCCCTGCGGCTCTGCGCCCGGCCGATGGGTCTGGTTTCCGCTCTGGCTCCACAGCTTCCCCGCGTGGCGACCTCTCGGGGCCTCGTCTGCACGCTGAGCTGGACACAGACGCGCAGGTTGTCGCGAAGATGACCCATCGTGTGTGTAAAGGCCGGCGCTCGTGGGGTCAGAGGTCGGCTTCCCTCCTAGTCCACGGCCTGGAGATGTCCGGCTGGCTTTTCTCGGGCGGCGTGCCCGGTGCCGGCGCCTCACCCCGTTTGCTTTAGCATCACCATGGAGACGCGCGTTTGCTTTAAATAGGACTCGGAGCAGATAGAGAGTGAGGGAGCTGCCCGCTCAAATCCTTCAGGGTTTGCGTCTATTTAATAAGGAATTAATTTCAAACATCAGAGGGATGAGGGTGGGATCCCAGGCGTGGAGGTGCCTATGAAATGTGTCTCGGTGGCTGGGAGGTCCTGGGAAGTGAGGAAAG